CCCCCCCCCCCCCCCCTGCGTTTTCGGTTATATATACCCGGACCCCACGGGGACACGGCGTGCCTCTGTCCTTCCTCGACTACCCCACACCGGTCCCGTTCCTGTGTGTGCGACCATGGGCAAAGGTGTACGTGCTTCCCCGCGCTGTACTGCGCCCCCCTCGCGCTAACTGCCTCCGGTGCACCCTGTCGTGTGCGGTCAGTACAGCGCCGCGATCGCGGCGAATCCGGTAGGTCGTCGGCCTGCTGTGCGCTCGTCATGGGACTGACGCATCCGATCTCGGGGGAAACAGTACATCGTCGGTGCGTACGCCTTTGTCGGCCTGCCCGCCCGGCTCGTCAATAAACCCACCGCGTCGTCCAGGCTCCTTTGCATGCATCGGCGGCGGCCTCTTTGGACTGGACATCTCGTCCATGTCCGGGGTTCTCAATGTGAGCGTCTCCCCCCCCCCTCTCGCTGGCTGCGCGCAGCCGACGGATGGCTCATCGCGCCCCTCCGGCAGAACCCTGCCTATCAGATCCAGTTCGGATACCCCTCGTCGAATGCACAGGGCGCCATCGTGGCCGCGATGCCTGCCGGCTCCTTCGTCGGCGCGCTGGCCGTGACGAAGCTCGCGGACCGTTTTGGCAGGAAGCAGACCGTCATCCTCAGCGGCTGGATCTGGGTCGTCGGGAGCATCCTGCAGTGCGCGAGCGTGGTGAGCGAGGGCACCCGTCCGCCCGCCGGGGCCGCTCACGCGCCGTTTTCGTTTTGCGCAGAACCGCGGCATGCTCGTCGTGGGCCGGATCGTGTCCGGCCTCGCGGTCGGCATCGCGTCGTCCATCGTCCCCATCTACCAGTCCGAGATCACCGCGCCCGCGATCCGTGGACGCCTCGTGTCGATGCAACAATGGTACGCGCTTTTGCACTTTTGGGCACGAGCGCAGATGGGTCGGCCACGGCTCCGAGAACGCTGCGCTTCTCTTTTAGCACCGATACCTCGCTTCCCCCGCGTCTCCGCGCTCACTGTGATTTGTTCACGACAGGGCTACTACGTGGGGTATCTTGATCCAATACTTTGTCGAATTTGGGTGCTCGTACATCAACGGCAAGGCGTCATTTCGGATTCCGTGGGGTCTGCAAATGATTCCGGCCATCATCCTCTCCCTAGGTATGATGCTCTTCCCCGAGGTACGGATATGCCCTCTGTCATTCGTCCGCCAACTCACCCGGGACTACAGAGCCCCAGATGGCTCATCGACCACAGCCGGTACGTAGTGTTCGGGCAGCCATCGGGATGCACGACGTGACTGTAGGTTTACAGCCCAGAGGAGGCCCTCACCATCCTCGCGGACTTGCACGGCGGGGGAGACCCGAACAACTCCCTTGTCCAGCTCGAGTACCACGAAATTCAGGAACAGGTGGCACTCGAGCGCGAGCAGGGGGCGAAGAGCTACAGGGACTTGTTCAAGCCTGGCATCTTCCGCCGCGTCACGCTCGGCTGTGCGCTCCAGATGTGGAGCCAGCTGTCCGGGATGAACATCCTGATGTGCGTGTCTCCGCTCGTGGTGCATTTTGATGGTGCACTCGAACCCTCTGCCCGTCGGTCTTAGGTACTACATCATCTACGTCTTCGAGGGCGCCGGGCTCACAGGCCGACGAGCGAACCTCATCGCCGACTCCGTGCAGTACGTTCTCAACGTCGCCCTGACCGGTCAGTCTTCCGTAGTATACCTTCTTCCCTCGCCGCTGAAACGCACGCATCACCGTTTGCAGTGCCCGCGATCATATACATCGACAAATGGGGCCGCCGCCCGATGCTGCTCACCGGGACCATGCTCATGGGGTTCTGGCTCATGCTAGTGGGCGGGCTCCAGGGCCACTTTGGCCACTGGGGCGAGGTCGAAGGCGCCCAATCGCGTGAGACGCATTGTGCACCCAGTCTGGCCCTGACGTTGCTCACATGCGGGATGATCGCACAGGTGTGTGGGTCCTCACCGGAAATGACCACGCCACGAAGGCGATCATTGTCTGCTCGTACTTGTTTGTGTGCAGGTACGTTCTCAGTACGCGCTCGCGCTCGGGGACACCACTTACGTGCCGCCGCTCTAGTTTTGCGATCACCATGGGACCGGTGTGTGGGCCGTAGGCCTGTGGGGAGGGAGGCTCACTCACGTCCGCATGTGTTGCAGGTATCGTGGACATACCCCGCAGAAATATTCCCGATGCGCGTCCGCGCAAAAGCGGTCTCTGTGGCCACAGGCAAGTTGTCGTCGGGCCGCGCTGTCACAACGCTCACGGCGCACACGCAGCCGTCAACTGGGTGTTCAACTTCGCGCTCGCGTGGGCGGTGCCGCCCAGCCTGTCCACGATCGCATACAAGACCTACTTCATCTTCGGCACGTTCAACTTTGCGGTGTGTGCATCGCCTGCGCCTCGAACGCGCTCGCGCGGCAGGCTCGCTGACGCCCCGCCCTGTAGGCCTTTATCCACATCTTCTTCTGTTTTCCGGAAACGGCGCAGCGTACGCTGGAAGAGGTCGAGGACGTGTTCGCGCAAGGACACGCGTTCGCCGCTTGGCGCGTCACAAGGGATGTTGGGAAGAAGACGCTTGAGGATGTCAAGGCCGAGGCTAAGGTGAGTGTTCACCCGGGCCTGCTTGGGTTCTCACGTAGTTGCGCCCATAGCACGAAATACACGAGCATGAGGACTCCGTTGATGAGAAGGTATAGGGCCCGAGACAGATTCTACTTGTTTGTTGTCTGGCTCGGCGTGTAATGAATGTATTGTTGTACAGCAACGTGGACGTTCACATTGTATGAACCATGGTATTATATTGAATAGCGCATACCCCGAGCACAAACGCATCCAGGAGGGTCATGTTCACGAACAAGTTAAAGGAGATATGACGTATCTACTTGAACACACCTTCGGCGCGCCGCAGCGACCATGAATAAGTTTTTCGAGCCTTGTCAGCATCCTAAACTAGATCCCCAATGCACCATCCGAAACGAAATGCGATCCACCAGCACACCTGTATCCCCCCTCCTGCTTGATCCACCTGTATCCCGCCACGCATACGCCCATTTGGCGAAGAGCCGCCTGTGCTTTCGCCTCCTGTTTCCTTCGCTGAGCCTCTGCTTCCATCATCGCCCTGCGTGCAGCCTCCTCTCTCGCCCGCTTTTCCCTTGCAGCCAGCTCCCGCAAGCGAGCTGCTTCCAGTTTACGCTTGCGCTTATCTTCCTCAGCAGCATCCCGGGCCCGAGTTTCTTCCAGTTGTCTGATACGCTCCCGCTCCTCTGCTTCCTTCCGTTTCGTCTCCTCGAGCTCCCGGGTCATGCGTACGAGCTCCTCTGTCAGCCTTTTGTTCGCAAGTTCCGCCGCAAGCTTGTCTTCCTGAAGCTTCTGCCATATGTGGTCCGGAACGCCTGGGTCGCGTTCCTCAGCGGCGTCATCAGGCGGAGGTGCCTTGTGCTGTGCGTTTCGCTCTGGAGAGGGCTGTCTGGTCGTGTGCGTCGTGCTGATGGAAGGGGCAGCTGTAGGCGGGGGAGGCGCGCTTGCTGATGGCATATCCAGCTGAACTTGCGGCAGTTTTGAGACGTGGGCGGTGCGCGCGCGGCGCTCCGCTAGCATGGTCTCCATGCAGCCTATCGCTTCGTCCGTCGTCAAAGTCAATTCCGAAGAGTCGTCGGACTCATCCGAGGGCCTCGTGAAGACAAGTGAAATCATCTGTTTGGCTAGGGTTCCTACGTCTCGAGCATTTCCCCACGATGGAAAGGCTGATAGCTGTTCGAGAAGCCGCACCATGGATTGATACCCACTCGAGGATGAATGCTCCAGTGCCTTCAGCTGAACTTTCTTTGCGGTAAGCTGGGCTTTGAGAATTTGGAGACAATGCTGAGGGCTCATGTGTGTGAAGACCAGCTCCTCCGAGAAACGGCTCGAAAGCCCAGAGTTGATTGCCATCAATCTGTTCATGTCCGCATCGTAACCGGCAAGGACGACGACGACTTTCTGGTGAAACTTTGGTTGTGTCAGGACGCTGACAAGTTCATCAATCGCCTCTTTCGCAAATGGACCGTCGCCAAGCCTGTATGCCTCATCAACGAAAAGAACTCGACCAAGAGCTTTCTCTAGCAGCGCCTTCGTCTTCGGACCTGTATGTCCCACATATTGGCCGACGAGATCAGACGCCGAACATTCAACCACTTCCGACGATGACAGGAATCCCATGTCGTAGAAGACTTGTCCCAGCTTTCGCGCAGTGGTGGTCTTACCTGTCCCTTGAATATGCAACCAAAGCTACTCAGTAATGTCGCTTATTCTGACATAAACAACATACCTGGAGGTCCTTTCATGACGAAATTGGTCGGGATTTGCCCTCGAGGGTCCATATCGCGAGCTTTCATCTTTCGTGCGGTCTCTTGATATCCGCTCAATTTTGTGACAATGTTGTCGCATCCCACCACGTCTCGGAACAAGTCTCGCAAATTAGCGGACGCCCGAGCATCACGGTCGAAATTGGGGTCGAAGTCTTGCGGCTCGAAAACAATGTCGAACGGTCTTTGATTCACAGGGACGGAGGTCAGGCGTAGTTGATACCGACCTTTGGCTTGTCCTAACAAGTTCTCAACCTCGCCTGCGTTTCCAAAATTTGGACGATTCCGAAGGCGACTGAGAACGGCAATGGCGACGTGTTTGGCATGATCTGTGGCACCCAGATTCTGCTTCTTAAGCTTCAGATCCAGGATCTTGCGTAGGTCAGAATCGTCGAAATCGTCGAAATGGAATGCATCTTCTATTGCAAACCGTCTGGCCAAACCAGGGTTGACATTCTAAGATTTCGATAACGATGTATCAACTAAAAAAAATCCGCGACTCTTTGGTCGAACACGCTATCTCACCTGAAACATATCTTCAATCTGTTCTCGATAGCCGAGTAATAGTACACATCTATCTTCTCCTGGAGTGCTTTGGACTTCGGCAACGATTGTGTCGATGACCGCCGTCTTGTAAATGTCTGTGTGTTGCCCAGCACCCTTTGTACCCCCACCGTATAGCATATACGCCTACATTCCGATGCTCTTAGATTCAGAAAGATGTCGACACTGAGTTGGCTTACCTCATCGATCACTAGCGTTTTGCCTACTGTGGCAGCAAGTATCGCTTTCGTTTTACTCTCTGACTCCCCAAGAACCGAGCCGATGAAATCTGCAGGATTCTTTACCACAACTTTGGTCGAGCACCATCAGAATATTAGAAGAACCTCCAGGGATCATGAGAACATGCATACCTTCACCATCGCTGAGAAGACTCAAATCTGCAAGTATTTGACCATACAATTTGGCTACCGTGGTCTTTCCTGTACCTGGAGAGCCAAGGAATACTCGATTAAGGGATACCTGCACCGGCTCCTTCTCTGCTAACTCTCGTTTGTAGTTCAGGGTGATGCTTTCCAGCATACTTCGCACAGAATTCTTGACCGCCTCCAGTCCGATCAACCCACTCAACTCCTTCCACGCGGCACTGCTATGTGTTACTTGGGACGGATCAGGCCCTATGAGGTCCTCCTTGGTGAGTAGGAAGTCGTCTGGACGCCGACCTTGCTTGCGTTCAATCGCCAATCGTCTTGCCTGTCGCCCTGTTACCTTCGCCTTCAAGTTTTCCAATGCCCGTGCATTCCCAAATCCTTCGCGTCCCCGCCCGCGACCTAGCCGTCGTATGGCAATCCTGACGAAGAGCCCTTGATATCCGTTTTCTATCTTCATTCTCCGGTCGTACTTTTTCTTCAGCATTCTCTCGAACATCAATCGTAGCTCTACATTAGTGTAATCGGCAAAGCGCAAGGTATAAGGAACTCGACTTGGCAAGCCAGGATTGTGCTCAAAGAATTTCTCCATTTGTTTGCTATATCCTGCGAGGATGAAAACAATCTTGCCGACATTGTTCTCCATCTCGGCAAGCAAGAAATCTAGTACTTGCCCCCCTTGAAAGTTGTGCGAACCGGTGAGCTGATAAGCCTCGTCAATGAACAGTGCTCCACCGCCCGCATTTAGGATTTCTTCGATCTGCTTCTTAGCGCCTGGGACGCCATCATTCGCCAAACGAGAACCCGTCGTCTCTATAAATGCGATTCCAGGAAGTACTTGAACTGACGCCAAAAATTTCGCATAGTGCCTTGCAATCGTAGTTTTCCCTGATATATATCTCTGTAATTGTAGTAATGGGGTAGCTCAAGAAACACTCACCTGTCCCGGGGTTTCCCAGGAGAACAATGTTGAATCGCTCGTCTGTGAGTGATGTGCCCTGTCGTTGAGTTACATCAATTTTATCCTTGATCTCCAATACTTGCGCCTTGACATCTTCGAGCCCAGTCATCGCCATGATAGCGTCAATAGAGGTATTAGAAACTCCTTCGACCGATTTCTGTCTCTCCCACTCCTTCTCCGACGGGGAGGGCTCTATGGCCAAAGCGTCGGTTTCTGAGGACGTAGACATGGGGGTCTCGGACAAAGGAGGGCCATCTTCCTTCACGTCGCCTTCGCTTGGCTGACTCGAAGAATCGGGGGCTACATTATTAATGTTTGGCGCGTTCTGGCCATTCTCAGATCCTGCAGAAAGGTCGCCTTGAGATGCGGGACCAGTGGTTCTCTGAGCCGCAAGAGAGGAAATAGCTGCGAGGTCGGCTTCCTTCTGTCGGAGAGCATTCGCCCTGTCGGCAGCAATTTGACGATCTCGGATTAACTGCGTCTGTTTCTCAATCTCCTCCTCTAATCTTGCGAGTTGCCGCGCGTGCTCTTGTTCTTCAGCTTCCCGTCTTTGCTGCTCTGCAAATTGTTTTTGCCGAAGCTTTTCTGCTGCCTTCGCTTCTTTATCGCACTGCTTGCATTGTGTAGGTCTATCTTTGTGACACTTCCAAGAGAGAGGGTGTCCGTTAGAACAAATATCGCTAATGACCTTCTCACACAGCATCTTTGAGTGGTCAGACAACTGGTGACATTTGGAAGGGCACGTGTGAATCCTGCAGCTTAGAATAGTGCCGCTATACAAGAGGAATAGGTTAATACATTGACCCAATTGCTCAGAATCTACGGAAACCTACCATGGCTCCTGGCATCCGCCATCCGGTGCCAGATTATCGAAATCTGCAGGATTCCTCAGCGTTGCGAGCCGATGAGGATGTCGTTCACATTTGACAGGTAAGCCATCATAAATATGTCGCCCGCCCTTCAACAAATCGAACAGCTGTGTCCAGAGCTCTTTTCCTCTACGCGCGCCCATAAATGTTTCTGCATTGCCCATCAAGATAAGCCCGTCCCGGGCGCGCGAGAGCAGTACGTTCAGACGCTCCGGTGACGACATGAAGCCAATTTCATGATCGCTGTTGCTCCTAGTAAGACAGCAGATGACGATCTCGCTTTCCTCTCCTTGATAATTGTCTACAAAGCATAGTTTAGTAGAGCACATGCGGGACAGAGCTTTCTTACCAATAGTTGCTAGACGGATCGCTTGCTTCGAGATGTTTGCTGCGGCCTCCGTGACAAGTCCTGCATGAACCAGATCATATGAATCGAGATCATTGAGGACAGGATCATTATCCTTCTTGAGCATCTCTCTCAGGAGGAACATTTGTCCGAGATACGGAGTAAGTATTACGATTTTATCCGTACCGTAGCCCTGTTGTCCTAGATACTTGACGGTTTTGAGTGTCATCTCCGCTTCAAACATATTCCGCTTCGAGGAAGTGGCGAACACGTCTCTTGCATTATCTCTGAGGTGCGCATTATCATCTTCAGGTGATGCGTGGCTGATGAACACAATATTATCCTGCAGACCACGGAGATTAGGTCGATTGAGGGTGTCGTCTGCGTCGACAAGATCTGGATAAGTCAGACGTCGAACGAGAGATGAAATTTCTGGGCGCATTCGATGTTGCTGGCTCAAGGTACTGTGTGGATAGCCCGAGCGAACGAGCCGTTCGAACATAGACATGTTGAGGTCATAGCCATTCCCCTTTTCGACTGTAAGGAAGTAATTATTCACTTTTGGTCGTAGCTGTCTGGATTGACAATGTCAGAATAATCCCAAAAGATAAATTCAAGGTCACGTACCGGTGATCACCAATGAGGACCAGGTGTTTTGTTTCCGGGCCCAAGGACGTCAAGACATGGCTTTCCAGTATCTCCCCGGCTTCTTCAACTAGTACGACATCTGGCGACGCCGCCTGGATCGGCAGCCTGTATTTTGCTGCTGCAGTTGTGGTACAGCCAATTATCCTTTTAGATTTTAGGACGGCGACTGTATTCTGGTCGAAGATGCGATCTATCGAATTAAGAGCATCACCATACTGCCCAGTAATATTGCATATGAGGTCAGCCTGCTGTTTGAGTATTTCAAAGCTCCAGCGGGAGTAAAGGCTCTGTCGTGCTTCGTACGACATGGCCCAAATATCAGCCGACTTCTGAACGTGGGGGGAGTCCTTGAAAATCCCCGCATTCCAACCCTTGACCCATTGATGAAGCAAATAGTGCGGTTTGATCTGATTTCCCTGCCTATCCACACGTTTCATATCTCCATCTTCGACAGGTATAGTGAATGCTTCATGATAGGTTGGCTCCTCAAACTCCAGATACTCAAGCACATCGCGATAGTTGGGGACAGGATGGCCATACTGGACGAACTCGTGCTCGAGAGCCTTTGCAAGTATTTCCGTACTGGATCTGAACTTGTTGACGCAATCCCAATCTGTACGCGTCATCTTGAAGGCCCGTTTTTGGCTCTGGAGAGACAGCGGTGCCGTCCGGGAAGTGGACTGGCTTCCTAAGCGAACCATACAGTCCTCAGGTAGACCGATATCAAGAAGGTCTTCGAGAAATTGATCCAATGCATGGTTTGTGTAGCAAACAACGAGAATTTTGGCTGCGGTCGATTCGTGAAGAATCTTCGCATGGAGAGCACCGATGAATGACTTCCCTGTACCTGCATATTTTTTGTTAGGAGTATTAGATACATCCGCTGCATCAGAACTCACCAGGAGGACCTTGTATCAAGGATACCCGTTGAGTAAGAGCGGAGAGGAGGGACGTTGACTGTGAGACATCCAGCCGGATCGGCTTTGCCTGCTTTATGTTCAGCAACGCCCGAAGGTCTTGATGCGGATCCTCTCGTAAAGATTCAATGATTGCCTCTGGATACAAAGGAGGGGGAAATAAGTCACTGTCGTCTGTCCATGACAGAATTTCCGGTGCAAGGGGGACGCTGATCGTTTCCTGGAGAGCCCTCAAGACAGGCTCATACGCGAAAACGGCAGTGTTGATCTGAACGAGTTGAATTTGTTTGGCGTTCTTGAGCTTAAGAAGCGCTTTCTTAAGGCTAGCTTCATTCGTGAACGAAAGCAAAATAATCGGGGGATTTTGTGCTAGAAGATCTTCATCTCGCATCACTGATGGAAATGCAACAATTTCGCGTCCAACCATTAGGCAGGTGAGCGATTGATGACGAAGGAGATTACGTCCTTCATCCTGAAGAATTGCCTTGCGGCCCTTCAGCGTCTTCTTCTTCGACAGTGGCCAGAGATCATGACCACATTCAAATCGCAGTCCCCACCGAACTCTTTTCCCCTCCGGTCCACAGTTGACACCAAGGAGCTTCAATGAATCAATCACAACACCCCTGTGCTTCCCCTTCTTCTCTCCAAAAATAATCCGGATTTCATCGCGCATTTCGTAAATCATGTCTTCACGCAAAAGACGATACTGATTGTCCAGGTACGTAGCAATACGATGTTCGTGAGTCTCTGGGTCCTCTAGGAAAGCCCTCGGGCGCAAAAAGGCTCGTTCCTTCGATGTAATTTCGTCAGCCGTAGGAAGAACAGATATGCTCCTGAAATCGGCGAAATCGTTGTCATGTCTTCCCCCGGGAGTAAAGCCTATATCGTCTGGGATCGCCGGATTGAATGTAGACAGGATATCTTTGATTTTCTGCCCAATAGCTACCAGCTCTGGCTGCGATGCGGAGAGCAGTCGGTCTAACACTGCAGGATCCTGAGCAACCTCGCGGTATGGACCAGCCTTCTCTACGGGAAGCATGACTAGCTGTCGCAGAAGCCATGCGAAAGCAAGTTCACCCTCCCCCTGCAACCTTCCTTGCCGAAATTCCTCCACAAATGCGTTCCAGAAAATTGGGGGATCAACAACAGCATCAAGAATTTGCTGAAGGAAGGACCCTCCTCCAATTTGTTGAAGAACGGGCGCTCTGAGATAAAGAATAAAATTGGAAGCATGACCGTTCAGGAACTCTGTGCGGAGATCAAAGCGCATTACAGCTTGAATAGACAACAGGCCTTGTCGGCTTCCAATCAGCCTGCTAATACAGGCAGCAGGGTCCGGCTGAGAAAAGATCGCCTCAAGGAACTGGGAACCATTCCGTGGACTTAGAATCGCCTGTCCGCACGAAATCGAATGTAAGAGTTTGTTTAGTCGTTGAAGACGGGGATTATCAGGATTATTGCCACGAGACATTGTCGTAGAAATGGTGCAACGGAATATCGGAAGAGCTTGCGCGTCGTCAAGAAGCTAGCAACAACTCGCCTCGTGGACTCATGTGCGACCCCTGCACATTAGAGTTATAAGATAACCATTTCAAGTAGTGATTACCACGCACCGTCTGATGGAATCTCTCTGCTGTCGACCAAACGTTCGGAATTGCGAGACTGTTGGAGATGTTGTCTCTAGATCCCTTGGCCCAAGACCATTCAAAATTCATGCACATGAGTGAGCGAGCTATACGCCTGTCTGATTCTAGGACTCCGGAACGGGCTATAACGCCGTCTGGCGGAAGTCTCGCACAATAGGGTTTGATCCTGGTCCTCAAACTGTACAAACTATCGCAAAATACCCTAAACGAAATAATCGTTCTGTGAGACACAAGTCAATCATCATTACATTCCTCGAAAGCGAATTGTTTCCAACAGCAAATATGAAAAACATAAACCGCCAAGACGACTATCACTAACAACTACAAACTTTGAGGGCATTCAAAACCGCTCGAGACCATAACCACCCCCAGCCTGCATGCATCGGCTATTTAGCCAGATCCATGCTGGCAAAAGATGTGGACTCGTTCGATAGAAGACCGACAAGTGGTAATACGGCGTGATAGTTCCCTTGTGACGAGCATCTGTGAACTGTCAACGTACATTTAACAGTAGGACATGACCCTCGGTGAAAGCAAACTCGCATCGCCGAGTTCAAGTCTTAGAACTCTGGTTCCAAGGCAAGAGGATATGGGTGCAATGGTGTCCCTTCTCTCATCGAACTATCTTATGTACCACGAGCGGGATAAATGGACGACGCATGAGCATACATGTATTGTATTCGTGATGTATTGTTAGACAGTGTGTAAGAAAGAAGAGAGGGTAAACCGCACCAAATAGCAAATAAGCACACCTGCCTCACTTCCGCATCTTCACGCTTCATGGGCTACTAGATCCCATGGACCTCGTAGCCGGCCAAGCAACATGTAGCTGGACATGTTGAATACTCCAGGAAGGTTCCTGTGAGGTGGGAGAGGAGCAACATATTTGCAACACGAGGCTTGATGTAATTCCCTTCGTCGAGCTTCATTAAAATACACTTTTCGCCCACATGATAAGCCAAGTGTTCCAGATCTACCCTCTTCGAACTCCTCATAACCAAAAAGGTCTAGCAAGGGATAATCAGATCATCGAAGTCCAGTCAATACCAAGCTCGACAAGCAGGAAACAGGACCATTTCATACTTTCCAGGTGTGTTCTGTTCATAGTTGAGTTATTGTTGATACCAGATAGATGAGAGATGCCACGGACGGCAGTGCATAATGGAGCTTGGGAGGGACCAAGAGAAAGGCGTTACCGGGTGTCACCGTCAAGCCTTCTCACGCGCGTCTGCTGAGTATTCGCTGCATCCCCACTTCATGCCGTCGATTTCTTACCGTAGTGCCCGTGCATACTTTGGAGGCTATTGCTCGATGGCCTCAGTTGCTGCACGCCTCAATAACCAATACTAGGGAAGTTCAAAGTTGCCGCAGCTGGGCTCGCAGAAAGTTCTGCGCCGCAGATGCACTTTTGGGCGC